GGCCCGATTTTTTCATTCTTCGAATGTTAAATTACGGTGCGGAAAGTTCCAGCAATTTGCCTTAAGGCTCGATGCCATGCGCCCCACTAGTTAGATGAAAAGTTTAGCTATGAAGAAAAATTTAAATTATTGAATATAATTGTTAATGTTACTTACATTGCATGCTCCTTTTCCGTATGACACAAATGTGCAGAGTTGAGAAGTGATAATTGGGTGCAATTGGTTCATTGATTGTGAACATTCTTGGTGGGAAATGATGTTCAAGTCGATGGTTTGCAAGTTGTTGGGGATTTGTCCGTTAGCCTAAACATACAAAAAAAATTATGAGAACTACTCATTTAGAAAGCAGACAAGACACATCACTGCTCTTCATGCCACAACAAATGATTGGTACCAAGAAGAAAAAATTTCTAAAGAATTTCATCTCTTAAAAGTGCTCCAATTATACCATCGAATTAAAAATACAAATAACTTTCTAATGCCAGTCAATTGATAAACACTACTACCTAGTATCAAATGAATGATTTTTATTTTAGAAACTGTCTTTGTCCTTACCGATAAGTATCCCCATCCAGTCATAGTTGCTCTAGTTCCGGCAGGTGTATCAAAGTTAGCCATTTGGATTGATTTTATCAAGTTGGTAAATTGGATTGGACTTGCCAGTTGGACTAAGCCAATGTCGTTGTGAAATGTTTGATAGTCGTACAATTCGTGGGTGTACAATTGCTTTGCTTTGTAACTTACGCCATCACTGTTCAAGGTGTTAGTTCCGACGACTGCGACCACGATGGATGCATCTCGGCTAAAAAATTGAAAAATAGAAAATACTTGGTCAACTTATGTCAGTATGAAAAAGTAAGTAAATCATCAAGGGAATGCATAGCCTAACTGTAAATGTATATTAAGTGTATTCATTTGCATGCTAATACATTATGCTAGGTGGATTTCAAAAGACACTGTCTTTTTATTCAAGCAGAACTATAACTGCAATTAACTATAAGAATTTGAGGAAACAATATAATTTTGTGTGAGACTAAAGTTAAATGGTGGAATCAAATAGGAGTTTTTTGAATTATTAAAATCGGACGCTCCGTTCTCTTAAAAACTGAGTTACCATTTTTGGCACTTTTTGCCCCGTATCTTTGGAACGGTTAGACCTGCCTTTGCCAAAAACATAATCAGCACGTCTCCTTATCAATACGAATCAAATGTTCTTTGAATTATTCAAATCGGTTGATCGGTGTTCCCGAAATCGTCGACGAAAATTTGTATCCGCACACACACACATACATTCATTTTTTCTAAGGTATGCCAAAATATTCAGATACCTCTGAAACGTAAAGATATATAAAAAATTTCATTTTCGATTTTTTTGCGATTACTATAACTTACCCTACGGGAGGTTAAAAATTATGGCTAATTTTGGAAAAATACTCTCTTGTATTGAAAAATCTAATAACTCCTCAACTTACCTATACATTTTTATAGATAGATTTATTTTTTGAGTGCATTGAACACATTCCAGTTTAAATGTCCAAATCAAAATATACTACTAAATCTAGTTCGATAAGTTGTTCAACAATGAAGCATTTAAATTAATGATCATTGTTTAAAATACGGATTTGCTATCACTGATTACAATTACCACAGTTACATACCTGTATTTTATATTGAATTACAGGTATTTATTATATATGTACCAAATGCACTATTTATCTTTGTCTTATTATACTCATAGAAGTTAAGAATAATTTATTAAAATTAAATGTCAATATGAGATTATTGATTTTCCACTCCATATTGTAATTACATTGAATTTCAAAGCTATCTGGTAAATTTTAAAATCATATGGTACCTAATATGAACTGGCCCGAGAGTATGGTGAAAAAGAATATCGCAAATATATTTAATTAAGTTTGCTACATTTTTTGAATGCTAATTTGCAACTACATTTATTTATTACATATTATTTGGCTTTCTAAAAATAAATTTATAAATAAATAGTACGTATAGAACAGATCTGCCAATCTATATCATAAGGAGTATGTTTAACTTGCAAATTATTTTTAAATTTTATTATTTAAACAAAATGCATAGAGTTATGAGAACTAAGTACATATACGATGAAACAATTCAGCAATTCTCTTTCAATCATAAATATTATTGTAACAAACACTAAAACATGTCTTTCCCGCGAATGCGATTATGCTTTTGTTCGTCTTGACGTCTTGTAGCACCCAGTATTAGATTATTGAATCGGCATTTTCTTCGAATCTGCGACTGAGACCCTTCTGATATGTGTCCCGAGGGAAATCTATTCCTGGTACTGACTGTATACCCGAGTCTTGAGGTGTTACAGGTTGCTTGAGCTACTCAAATTCCGACACTGATATGCCTCTAACCCACATTTAGGGAATGTACTTATTTACAAGGATCAAGGAGTTTGACGTATTTATTTCCTAATTTGCGGAAATATATAGCTATTGAAATATAAATTTTACTAATAATTAAATTACTTATGTGTAGACTCTTAATTCTCATCTCTTTTTTTTTAAATCTTTTTTAGGTAACATCATACAAATTGATACATGTATTCTACGATTTCGCATATTTTTTATTATTTTCAACAACAACAAAATCAACCATGCAATTGTAAATAATATCAACATAGTACTTTATGATGCAACTAAGTTCATCATAAAAACATGAGCCGTTAAAAAATGGTTGTTATTTCAATTTTTAAGGAAAATTTATGTAATGGCAAAGTTTGCATTACTTATTACAATTACCAACCTATATTATTAATTTATCTATTTTATCTCTGACGTATTTCATATTTCAATCAATAGTCCGATGAGAAAGCTCCACGCATCATTAGATTTCAATATTTTCCGAGTTTACTATGAGTAATTGATCTTATGAACGAAGAAAATGATGTCCAAAGTCCCTGTGCACGTTTTAAAGAAAGTAAGTAAACGTATAGACTGGGCGCTCAGGTATCTTGAATAAGTATCAATCTAAATACAACTTAAAATTTTATTTTTTTAAAACTTCTACACGTAAACACTTCCAATATCTATTATATCAAAATAAGTCGGGTTTTCCTTCCTGACAATATAACTTTTTGAACGCACGAACCGATTTTGACGATTTTGCATTCATTGGAAAGGTCTCGGACAACGTGAGGTTTATAGTGGAGAAAATTGAAGAAATATTTCAACAGAAAAGCGGAAAACACTTTTTTTTCACATACATCTCTGATACTTAACATGTACTACAAACTAATATTTTTTGTTTGACTACACTCATTTGTTTGACAGCTACTCATTGTTCTCTGCTCAGTTAATTTCATGTTACAAATCGGCATTGTGTTCACTGTGAAATTGTGCAAAAAAGTAAAAAAAATAAGATATTCGTTTCCTAACATTTCAATTAGAAACCATCAAATCAAATCACGTGTATTGTGCAAATTTTTATTCAATTTCAACAGCAGACAATTTTTTTCTTCATCTTTTAATCACCAAACGAAATCTTACATAAAATGAAACCATCTGGTGGTGAAACGGAGTTCGCCCGGTTTGCTAGTACTTTATAAAATGCAATTGCAATTTTAATGCAGTAAAATGATGTATAAATTGTACAAATAACGGGGTGGAACCGATTTCAATCGTTTCTTGTAACAAAATGGCGGCAGTAGCTCAGTCAGTAACTTACTTGACTCGGTTACTCAGTTTGAGTCCTTATGCTGGTATAAAAATTGACATTTGATTTGAATTAAAACAAAATTAGTAGTAAGAATTAAAAACAAAATTTCCATTGGAAAAGATAAGATTTAGAACAAAATAGAAGATTGAAGAATTTTGCTGCAAATTAGTAATGAATATTTATAAAAACTAAATATGTATAAAAAATAGAAATAAAATGTTGTAGGTGTCTAAATGATCTAAAGGTCAATGAAATAATAACGAATGGCTATAGCACGATTTTAGAAAAATATACATAAGTCAGTCCCAAAATTTTTATAAAGGCATTTGTTTCTTCCTCAAAAAAAGGTGTTTCTTGTGTAACCTTTACCCCCGATACCTTTCTAATCGAAATTGTAGAGAAATGCAAGTATAAGAGGGCGGAACAATATAGAGAGCGTCGTGGCTGTCGCGGCCACATTGTAAATTGAACACGAGTCCATGTTAACTGGCATTGTGTTGCTAAAGGACTGCGGTTTTCAAGCGTCAACTTACTGGCAAATGGACTAAAACATCACCAACACCAGAAACAAAGATGTAGTGCAGAGTTACTGCAGGCAACTTGAAGAAAATATACGGGAAGAAAATTTTAATTGGGTCTAAGAAATATTAATTTTAATATTGTATTACATACATGTAAATGTCTGTATGTATAGGGTGGTAGGGTGAGGCACAAAGGTCCAATTTGACTTTTAGCAATTATATTGTGAAAACCAAAACAATTACATCATAACAAATAACACATATCAAATAAACAACTAAACAACTATCAGACTATGTTCAGGAAATAACTCAGCTATTTCATTGTAGAAATGTGTTTTTTTGCTGTTCTCCAAAAATTTGTCATTTGGTCCTTTTTACCCCATATGCAGGGGTAACCTAATATGCAGGGGCAAAATGGAACAGCCAGGAGGAAAACAGGTACAATGGCTTATATCAAATTTTAAAATAATTTTTTGAAATAATAGCTACATTATTCAACCAATACAAAATATAAATTGCATGGGTACGTTTTCACAAGTATAACGCTGTATATAACCTTGATCTGGTATTTCATCAGAAATATTTATCAGCAGAGTTGAAATAACTACTAATTCAATTATTTTCTTGTAATTTTGCTTATTTTAATTTAGTTTACTTTTTTATAATTCATTTTTTACACATCTGTCAGGGTGAAAGTTTAGTTGGTCTTTATACCCCAACCAGGTGAAGGCTTTTATAGAGGTTATATAAAAAAGCTGTTGAATCTATCTTAAAATTAACTGTTGAATCTTAATCTTTTAGAGCAACTAAATAACGTATACTTAAAAATTATATTGAGGTCTGGAAAACTAGCAGACTAAGCAACACTACTTACAATCTAAAAATGAATAAATTATGTTATGATAATAAGAAACTGAGAGCAATTGCTTACTATACACTGACGTAAAAATGTATTAAGATACCTATAAATATTTTTTTAATTCTGCTTAAAATATGAGCCATTTTTGTTACTTGTTACTTTCTTTATCTAATATTTTTTGAAATTGTTTACTAAATTGCAATTTAAACGATACACCAGACTTCTGTGAATTCAGAGCTATTATTTTTTCTTCTATTTTTTGCTTCTCTGTTTTATGTGATAATAGCTTTCAGGATTTTATAGTATCTTGATGGCTATTTTCAAGGAAAAAAACTTAATTCAAATTTATAATTGTTACCGCAAAATAATTAATAAATTTATGAGCAGCTGCATCTAAATGCCTGATCAAGTGGCACCATGGATATTTGTTTTTTTGCTTTTGAGTTTAAAAAATTTTAGTTACATGTAGGTGATAATTTTTTGCTACTATTACAGATATGTGCCGATAAGAATCATTTCCCAAGCCGTAGGTTCGTCTCCCGTGACTTAGTCTTACATTCGAGCAAAAAGTCATATATTTGCTTCATCCAAGCAAGCGCTGTTGTACAAGAATGACTGGTGTTAAATTTTTTTCATGATTTTTTCCTTTCCGTTCGTACTTTATGAAATGTTCGCTGCTCCATTAGAGAAAATAAGGTACATTTTACAAGCCATTCCTAATGCGCTGGCCGTTCTTCTGCGCCATATGTCTTCTCGGAGCGGACGAACTTTTTATCGCCAGCTTTTTAATCCCGCGAAAATGATGAAGAATAATAGCAGTTTAGTTCTCTTATTTAATCTTTAATATCTAGCAAATATATCACTCCTTTATTTTTGTTGCAGGTATACTCGGGGAAAAATTATAGTTAGGCAAAATGCTTCTAATCTTGAAAAATAATATTTTTTATTCAACATATTGTTAACATTTTATCGTGATAATTCAACTGAAAATATATCTACACTTTATTATAAAAATATTGTCAACAGCCTTCTAGCATTGTGTCGACATTCAAATTACTACATTACAATATTTTGATACATGTTCATACAATAGAACGACCTAAAGATTTTAGCTGCCAGAAATGCTAATGTTTTGATAAAAACTTTTACAATTAGCTACAAAAATTAAGTTTTACTTAAAAATATAAGTAAATTAATTTAAGTTGCTTAAATATTTGTAATATGAAATTTTATTCAAAATTTGGAATTTTATGTATGTCTTTTATTTGCAGGATGTGCTGTGCAGAATGTTCATCAGGAGGAATTTGGAAGTGGATTTGCTGGATGGTGAGTTGTTGATTATTTAATATATATTATTATTATGATTCCTTTAAAATTGTTTTTCTAGTAAATAGT